ACAGCAAATTTACTGTCTCGCTGGGCGAGACAGCAAACACTGTCTCGGCCAGCGAGACAGTAAACACTGTCTCGCCATATTAATTCTGTCTTTTGTTGAGTTTTGTTAGTTATGAACCCCAAAGGCTATAAATACCCCCCTAAGGTCATTTCTGACAGGGGCTGATCATTTTAAGTACTTCAGAGCAATCCAGAGCAGAGAGAGAGCAGAGTTCTTGAGCTTCTGGCAACTCCTTGATATTCAGGCTTTGACTTGATTTCAAGAAGAACGACTATCTTACCTTGATAAGATATCGTTTCAAGTTCTCACTTCGATAAACGAAGTCAGAATCATAAACCCCTCACGATTCGATCAGAATCTGTGATTTGGTGGTCCACGGGCTAACGCACCCCCGGCACAGGCAAAGATCCCACGCAAGCAGTGATCCAAACAACGATCCTGCGTTTGTTTCCCAAGAGTTGTAATTTTCATTTTGTTGTGTAAAAGAAGTCTTATAAAAAGGTTATTTCTTTTGAATTTATTGTAATCGACTGAAGATATAATGAATTCCATGACAAAACCAACTTTTGACGTAAACAGACGCTCGTTGTCCCTCCCCCTTTCAGGTAACGAGCCAATAGCTTGGAGAGTCGCAGGTTGATGGCGAGGCACTCTAGCTTCAACTTTTCTATTATAGTTATATTTTACTTTTGAGCTCCATTGTAGGCTTTTGTTAGACATTTTGAGAGTTAGTTCTAGAAGTTGTAAATGTTGTGTGTCTTATTTCCTTTTTTTCAGACTTTATGTATTTGAGACTTGTTGAGGAGTTCCAGTTTATTCATTTCAGATATTAACTTGTATTTCAGTATGTTAGATGATGAAATATTAATCTGATCTCTATTATTTCATCAGTTGACTCTTGTGTTATCTTTTACGTGCTTTTGTACCTACACCTGTTATTGACTCTACTAGAGAGATAGTAATTGTGATGGTGAAACATGTTATTGCACGGTGTGGTGCATGACAAGTTTGACATTATTGATTTCACCTTAGACTGCAGCTTTGTGTGAACCCAGGGGCGTCACACTATTAGTTATTGACTCTACATGTTTTTTTTATTTGTAACCAAATTAAAATTCTCATCCGATATAGAATAATTTATGCATACTCCAAATTTCTCAAATTTCTCTGGATTATAAGCCATGATTTTAGCTGTCTTTTACCAAATTAGAAATTGTTGCCTAACAACTAATATTTTATACTTGTTTCAAAATTTATAAATTTATTTTGGTTATAACCCATAATTTTTATACCAACTCACAAATTGTAATCCTGCATAGAATATTCTATGAATAGTCCGAAATTTTGTGGGCTATAACATATGATTTTAGTCATTTTTGACTAAATTACAAACTATCATTTTGCATAGATTATTTATACATACTCTAAAATTCTATGATTTCTATGGACTAGAAAATCATGATTTTGGCTGTTTTTGACCAATCATGAATTATCGTCCAAGGAATAATATTTTATGTGGAATTTATATGGACTACAACCTATGTTATTGTCATTTTCAACCACATAAAAAATTATTGTCTAGCATAGAATGTTTTATAAATATTCTGAATTTCCAAACTTTTATGGACTATAACATATAATTTTGGCGATTTTGGTCTAAATTACAAGTCATCGTTCCACTTAGATTATTTTATGTATGCTTCAAAATTCTTGAATTTTTAGGGACTATGACACATCATTTTGGTTGTTTTTGAAAAAAAATCACATTTTTGTCCACCAAAAAAATATGTTATGCTTTTCAAAATTCTCCAATATACATGGACAATAAGCCCTAGTTTTTTTTATATAAATTACAAAATTATCATCCCGCATCAAACTTTCTATGCGAGACGATAATTTGTGATTTGGTCGAAAATGACAAATAACATAGGTTGTAGTCTACATAAATTTTAGAACTTTAAAAAATGCATAAAATATGCTTTGTTGGATGAAATTCGTGATTTTGTAAAAAAAAGCCAAAATAATGATTTTTAGTCGATAGAAATTTGAAAATTTTGAAGAATTGAATAAAATATTCTATGCAAAATCATAATTTGTAATTTTGTCAAAAATGCTTAAAATCATGGGCTATAGTTCGTAAAAGTTTAGAAATTTTAGACTATTTATAGAATATCTATGGAGGACTCCAATTTGTGATTTGGAATAAAATGAAAAAAAAATCATGGATTGTAACCCAAATAAATTTGCAAATTTTCAAACATGCATAAAATATTACTTGTTAGACAAAAATTCATGATTTGGTAAAAGACAATCAAAAGCATGGTTTATGATCCACAAAAATTCAAGAATTTTGGAGTATGTATAAAATATTCTATATGAGATGAGAATTTAGGATTTGGTAGAAACCGTAAAAAATCATGGATAATAGTCCATAAAATTTCAAAAGTTTTGAAGTATTCATAAAAAAAATTTGATGGGGGTTGACAATTTTGTGATTTGTTTGAGAACGATAAAAAAACATGGTTTATAGTCCACACAAATTTGAGAATTTTTAAATATGCATAAATATCCTTTATTGGACGATAATTTATGATTTGGTCAAAAACATTCAAAATCATTTATCCACAGAAATTTGAGAATTTTAAAGTAAGCACAAAATAATCAATGTGAGTTTACAATTAGTGATTTTGGTTGAAAAATGGCTTGGATCATGAGTTATAGTCAACAAAAAGTTAAAAATTTCGGAGTATTCATAGAATATTGTATATAAGACTCCAATTAGTGGTTTGGTATAGAATAACAAAAATTATGAGTTATAGTCCATGCAAACCATGAATTTTGAAATGTGTATAAAATATTCTTTACTAGATAACAATTCATAATTTAGTTGAAAATGACTAAATAATGGATTATAGTCCACCGAAATTTGAAAATTTCAAAATACACTATTCTATGTAGGATGGGAATTTGTGATTTAATTTAAAATGGTCAAACTCCTGGATAATAGTTCACATATTTTCAAAATTTTTAAAGTTCTCATGAAAATTTGATGCGAGATGACAAATTTGTGATTTGTTCGAAAAGAACAAAAACCATAACCTATAATCCGTATAAATTTGAGAATTTTGAAATATGCATAAAATAGTTTTCAGTGGAGGATAGTTTGTGATTTGGTAAGAAAAATAAAAATAAAAATCATGTGTTATAGGCCCTAGAAATTTAAGCACTTCAAAGCATACATGAAATAATCTACGTGGGACAATGATTTGTAATTTGGTCGAAAATGGCCAAACTCATGGATTATATAGTCTACAAAAATTTAAAAGTTTAGAGTGTTCATAAAATATTCTATGCATGACGTTAATTTTTTATTTGGCCGAAAATAACAAATAACATAGGTTGTAGTCCGTATAGTAAAATATTTTTTGTTGGGCGACAATTGGTGATTTGTTCAAAAACTTCCAAAATCATGGATTGTGGCCCATTGCAATTTAGAAATTTTGAAGCAAGCATGAAATATTCTATGCCAGACAATAATTTATGATTTGGTAAAAAATGACTAAAATCATCGCTCATAATCCATAATATTTTGGAAATTTGGAGAATTTATAAAATATTTTATGCAAGACTCCACTTGTGATTTGGTCAAAAATGACACTAATCATGAGATTAGTCCACATAAATTTGGCAATTTTAAAATATGCATAAAATATTCTTTGCTGGATGACAGTTCATGATCTGGTTATAACTAGCCACAATTAGGGTGATAGTCCAAAATTCGAGAATTTTGCACTACGCATAAATTATTCTATGTGGTATGACAATTTATAATTGGTTGAAAACGACCAAAGTTACTGGTTAGTCCATAAAAATTTAAAATTTTTAGAGTATTTCATAAAATATTCTGTGTGGAATAACAATTTGTGATTTGGTATAGAATAAAAATCATGTGTTCTAGTTCACATAAATTTGTAGTTTTTTTATACATCCATAAAATATTTTTTACTAGACGACAATTCATGATTTGGCTAAAAATAGTCAAAATCATAGGTCATGATCCACTAAATTTGAGAATTTCAGAGTGTACATAATATATTATACACATGGCAGCAATATGTAGTTTGATAAAAAAAGGGTCAAAATCATGGGTTGTAGATCCATAAAAATTCAAAAACTTTAGATATTCATAAAACATTTTATTCAGGATGACACTTTATGATTTGACCAAAAATGCATAAAACTTTGGTCAAGTCCACATAATTTTGAGAATTTCAAAATATGCATTAAGTTCTTTGTTTGACAACGAAAATCATGGGTTACTATTCATAATGAATAAAAAATTTCATAGTGCACATGAAATTTGTATGTGGAACAAATCTGTCTTGGTTGAAAATTGTCAAAATAATGGGTTAAAATCCACATAAATTTATGAATTTTAAAATATGCATAAAATATTCTACGTGTTGCTCTCAAGTGGCCAAAAATATGAGTTATAGTCCACATAGGTTTGAGAATTTTTAAATATGCTACAATATTACATGTCCGATGACAACTCATAATTTGGTCAAAAATAGCCAAAATAATGGGTTATAGTCCACTAAAATTTGAGAATTTCAGAGTACACATAAAAATATTCTCTGCGAGATGATAATTTATGATTTGATCGAAAATGTCAAAATCATGGATATATTCCACGAAATTTTAGAATTTTAAAACATTAATAAAATATTCTATGTGCGACAATAATTTGCGATTTGATCTAAAACGACAAAAATCATGGGTTACAGTCCACATAAATTCGTGAATTGAAATATGCATAAAATACTCTTTATCGGATGGCAATTCATTATATGGGCAAAAAGACCAAAATCATGACTTACAATTTACAGAAATTAGATAATTTTGTAGCATGAATGAAATATTCTAGGTGGGATGACAATTCGCAACAAAAATCATGTGGTAATATGGGAGATATGGAGGGTACGCATGCAAAAAGACCATTTACAACATAAAAAATCAAATCTTTGGAGTGAAGGGATCATCGATCTTATTAATTTCTCGCGCTCTTTGAGATCGCGTCTTCAGTTGATTCTCAAAGGTTCAATTTTTCTCTCTCTGGATCTGGATCTTGTATCGAAAAACCCTTCCTTTTTCACTAATTACAAACGATCTCTCTTTTTCGCAGCTTAATTGAGCCAGATCTCTCTCATCACCTACCAGTTCTCTCGCCCTCGGATTCATGGTGAGTTTCGAATTTTTACAATTTCTTGTAAATTTTAAAGATTATTTACCGTGGATTTTCAAGAAATTTGAATCAAATGATCGCGATCCGAGCTTTAATCAGGAATCGGGGTTTTTATGAATGAGGGAAAAGAATGGTTAGATCAGAATAAGGAGAATTTGTCACAGAAGAGTTGAATGATCTCGGCTGTAGCTTGTAGTTGTCTTTTTCAATAAAGGCGATGGATATTTAAGGATCATATAAGATTTTATGCGATGAACTACAATGTGGATCTCAGTGGGAAATTTGAATTATGGTACATTGTGGAGATTCTGATTACGTATTTAGTAGTATAATTTAAGGGTTGTACCTTCCAATTGGTTCTACAAGCGAAAGACGTCTGCACGAAAAACCCAACTATTTAGTTGATTAAGCTTTCTATGAATGCGATGGATATTTAAGATTCTTATTTTTGGAGGGTTGACATGATGCTTCGATGCATGAAACATAGGCAACGTTATTAATAAATGCAAACATTATCTTATATCTATATGATGATTTATAACTAGTGCAAAATGCTGGGAAGCCAAGTGACAGCCAGAATTCTGATTAACTTGACCACTCAAAGAGTTGAATTCTGTGGGTCTTTGGAATTCCCAACTGTTCTAATCCCAGAACATACTGGACGGAATTGAGTTTCCTCTACTCCGGTTATTGGTTCTTTAAACACATGCAATTTTAGTAGCATCTTAAATAGTCATTATGCTCAGGTAGAACTGCAAGTGTCAAGAAAACACAGAAACATTCTTCTATGTATGCTCTTACGTTGGTCTTAAAAATATTTGTTTCCTTTAGCAAAGGCTGATGCGGCATCTTTCTGGTTATCCAGGAGTCTTCTCCTTCTGTGAAGAACATTCTCCTTTTGGATTCTGAAGGAAAACGTGTGGCAGTCAAATATTTTTCAGATGACTGGCCTACTCACAGCACAAAGTTAGCTTTTGAGAGGTCTGTATTCATTAAAACTCTGAAGACCAATGCTCGGTCAGAAGGTAACTCACAGATAGATTTATGTCAGGATTTACCTTGGTTCATGAGTATTTTTTCTAGATATATTTCATATTCTTTAATATATCTTCTGCAATACATAGATTACTTTGTTAGTTGGTTATGTGTACTTGTGTATCAGATTAACCTTTCCATGCTTGATATCGTCACTTGGAAAACAGATAAATTAGCTCAACCTGACTTATCTTCTTCTATCTGCAGCCGAAATTGCAATGTTCGATGGATACATTGTCGTCTACAAATTTGTCCAGGACCTGCACTTTTTTGTCACTGCAGGTGATGATGAAAATGAACTCATCTTAGCAACAGTTCTTCAGGGCTTCTATGATGCTGTCGTCAATCTTCTCAGGTCTGTCATTATTGTTTCTTCTACATTGCTTTTTAATGTTGCTATTGTTTCCCCTGTATCTAATGCTTTGTTCAATTTCCTGATGATGCACGTGTCTTTCCACCAGGACCGATGTAGAGAAAAGGACTGCTCTCGAGAACTTGGACCTGATTCTTCTTTGCATCGATGAAATTGTTGATGGAGGGTATGAATAACCAACAGTCCTTTACGTATTTCGTAATCTTGCAGGGGCGTAAGTTTGTAACTGTACATGATATTTTGTCATGAGAACGCTAGTGATAAGATAGGATGATCACCCCCCCCACCCCACCCCACCCCCACCCCAAAAAAAACCAAAAGAAAGATGATCACCCCCCCCACCCCACCCCACCCCCACCCCAAAAAAAACCAAAAGAAAGAAAACCACACACGCACAATAAGGGTCTGAATCAGTACGCCACTATAGATGTTAAAAAAAGAAAGAAAAAGAAAAACATTTGCACAATAAGGGTCGGAATCAGTACGCCAACTATAGATTTTAAATTGTTTCATATTTTCATGACTGGAAAGAAGAATCAACAGATTTTAGTCATTGGTGCATGTTGTGGTCTATGTTCAATGTAATGATAGCTTTGTTTTTTATTGAAATTTACTCACCTTTTGTACAATAACAAAGCCTAAGTTTCTAGGATTGGCTTAATGCAGCGCTTTTTCCTGAATTTTTTTTCAGTGTGGTGCTTAGCGATGTAATTGAACAATGCCTTCTCATGCAGAACTCTATGATTAGTATAGTGCCATTATAAAAAGAAATATGATCCAATATCGACGATATATAACTCCCATTGCAGGGATGATCTACAGCTTCAGTATTATCTTAACGAAGGTTTGATGGAACTATAGGTTGTTGTTAGGCATTCCGATGGCGTCATATGATTAGGATGGGATTCCTAGTAATATTCATACTACTCTTGGAGTGACCGCTCATATTTCCCTTAAGAGAAAAGTTGGAGATACAAGTCAACTACATCAGTGTCAGGCAATCACAAATTTCTAGATTAGGATTGGTGTTCATAGTGATAGTGAGACTGTTTAAGAAAAGTTTTGGTAAATTCTTTCATTAAAATTAAAAATGAGTAACTATGGAACTACTAGAATAGGCCGTATAGAATTCTAAACTATTATAACTGTTTCACAGCTAATGAAGGGTGTGTTTGGGAATCAAAGTGATTTTATTGTAGTGTTTTTGTAGAAAAACACCATGCCATGGTGTTTTTTTTTCAAACATGTTTTGAAAACACCATTTATAGTTATTATTTATAAAGAGACGGCAACGGCGGGCGGTGGCAGTGGGCCGGCCAACGGGGCGCTATCCACGACGACGATAGTCGGCGATGCGGGCGACCTTCACGGGTGTTCGGCAGCGGACCGGACGGGAGCGCTACTCGGGCCGAGGCCGGCTTGCCGCTGTGGCCGCAACGGGCGGTGCCGACGACGGAGTCGTGGGCGGCCGGACCGGCCGTGCGGCGGCACGGGTGGGGTAAGGTGCGATCGCGCCGACGGTGGGCGATTACGGTGTCGGTCGCGGGCGGCGGGGCGCGGATCATGATAGGACGCGGCAGGCGGCGGCGGACCTTGTGGGTGGCGAGCAGCGGCGGCGACGGCTTAAATGAAAAAACGGAATCTCAAAACACTTTTTTGGTGTTTTGAGAAAAATGTTTATTTTTTAGATTTTGTAAAGGATCAAGTAAAAAAACGTCCTAGTTGCCAAACGCGTTTTATTGTTTTTTTTTTTTGAAAAAGAAACAGAAACGACAGAAACGCCATGGTTGTCAAACGCTCCCGAAGTTTGTCATGAACAGGTGTATCTGTAAGTCTGAGGAAGAGGATTAGTCACTGAAACTTACCTTGCATATTTAATCATTCATTGCTTCTTCTTCTTCTTCTTTTCTCTGTCTTAGTTTATTTCATTTTCATTTTTTCTCATGCTGAATAAAATCGAAGTAAAGAAAGTTATTGCAGGATAAAAGGAAATAGAAAGGTGATAATGATTACATGCCAGAAGCACTAGGTTACTTGTACACGGCGTTTTGGGTGTCATGTTCGTGTCCGACATGTGGCGTTTTGGTTGTTGTGTCCGTATCCAATACATGTAGGACACAGATTCTTTGCAGACATGCCATAGATACGTGTTGTTTGATGTAAAATCCGATTTCCCCATTACTTGTACCCTAAACTTGTTTCATTGGAAATATCGGACTCAAAACCAATCGGTTTTTTAGACCAGTTAACTGACACTCATTACTTAAATATTTAAAAATACCCACTGTATTATCCCATGTGATCAAACTAAACTTTTGTTGTTAAACATTATTCTTAGTTTTATTTAACTTGATTCTTAATTATTATAGATAGTAGAAAGAAACATACAAATGGTATATGTATTTTAATTCAATATATGATCCAATGTAAATTTGACATACATACACACATAGCCGTGTCTTTGTATCCTACATTTTACAAATTTGCCGTGTCCCATGTCCGTATCTGTTTCCATCTCCATGCTCGCACCCATGTCCATGCTACCTAGCTGAAGCAAGATCATCTTGCTAGAAAATATCCTATTTGCCTTATACAATAATGACTCCAATCCGTACCAGTCATTTGTTGCTTGACTGTCTTGGACAACGCCATGTCTCATGATAAGATAGCTTGAGGAAAGTCCATGAACATATAGCTTGTACTGAGAAAATCACTGTGCCATAATCTTTGTCTAAATGTAGTTCTGAAAACTATTCACCTTCTTATTTTATTTGCCTGAATGCAGGATCATCTTGGAAACAGATGGGAGCGCTATTGCTGGAAAGGTCGCAACCAATACTGCTGATAGTTCTGTTGCATTCTCCGAGCAAGTAAGATCTATTACCTAGAATTTGCCTACCTATTCAAGTTGGTGAATACTAGGTTAAGTTCTTCTAATGAGTTTCCTTTGTTGTTTTTCCTTTTTTTTCAGAACATTTCTCAAGCATTGGCTACAGCAAGGGATCACTTTGCTAGATCCTTCCTGCAATGATTTTGTGATGACATCCTGGCTTTGGCTTCAATAATACCCTTCTTCCCCTTTTTATCATTCTTTTTGAGTTTTGACTAAGAATTTTTTATGCTTTATTTTATGGTTTCATGTATTTAAGCCATTGTGCTTGGCTTAAGTCAGTAAAAGTGATAGCTGGTAATTTAGACACAAAGTGGTTTGAGTGAATCTCTTCTAGAATAGGATTTTTCTAAGGTCTGTTATTAAATGGAGATATTCTGGATGATTTGGTAATGAAATTGCAGTCATTTTACTTGTTCCTTTTCTGAATTGAAAATGCTGAAGGTTTTGTTCCTATCAAGGCGGTAGTCAAGCCGACATGAACTTGTTAAATTGAGAGTATATTGTATATTGATTGAAGTATTTTAACCAAACTCAAATCAAAATTACTAGGGAAATTATCTTTCTTGTGAGCTCTTGCACGTAAATCTGATTGTAATTAGATGATTCAACATTATCCTTACCGTGCCAAACTTTTTGGTGTTCTATTCAAAGTATGCTGCAGTTATATAGCTGTTTGTGGTGTTCAAGCTTTCTGCAGAGAAACACTAAGACATGCGGGTACTTTTTGTGTAAAAATTTCCAATTACCTTATTTCATTATATTTGTAATATGATTTCTTTTTTGAGTTCTACATGCTTCGTTCATATCTACTAATTAACAATCTGTCAGATTCTGACATGGTGATTTTCGCATATTATATAAACTTGTTGCTCCATGTCGTCTCCAAATGATCTATGATCGCATATCATACTCTTGAGCTACTGCACAACATGCTTCCAGTTTTGATGCATCAAGTTCTATGGTGAATTAAGCAGATATTATATATATTGTTTATTACTAATTTGGTTATATAAATTCCCCATGACCCCAAGGACTGACAGGCAAAAGCAATGGGTAGGATGCGAAAATACATTAGTTTAAACTATCATGTTAGTACCCGCAAAAGAAACTTCTGAGATGCATTATTAATAAACTTTATACCAAAAGCAGATAAACCTACTAGCACAAGCTATACACCAAAATATAATTGTGAGATGGTCATTATTGATGGATGATTATACATGATAAGTTTGTATTCTTAAAAATTAGGAGGTTGACATCCTTCTTAATGCTTGTTTTTTTTTCTTTAATGACATGTTTAGATTTAGACATGATTGAATACTATTATCACTATCATTATTGAGCATGCTCTCTTGACTCTTTACCAAAAGTGCCCTGATGAAAAGTAGGGGGAATTGAATTGAACTACTCCCCTTGGTTGCTTAGATTTTGGCCTCCAACCCCACCCCCATGTGAGCATAGTTGTGTCCATAAAGCTGTCTTTTTTCTTTCTTTTCTTCATCCTTTGCACAACCAATAGCCAACTTTTCTCATTAAATGAAGGAGATATGGAGCTGATGACCCATTTCCTTTTGGGGTTTGCTTGGAATCTGTTTAAAGACAAGTTAAAGGAAGATGGATGTAGCTTTCTCATTTACTTTACTATCCATTACTCTCTTTTGAACTAATTACCCAAAATCTTAGTTGCTACTTCACTGTTCACATTTTATGGCAACAACAAAGATTGACCCAACTTTGGTTATTTCCTTGTTCAGTTAGGCCTCTGAAAATGGTACCTGTTTACTTTTGTCCTCAGTTGACTGGCTTTTTATGTTGCTTTCCTCCTTTTTCTTTCTTCACAAAACATGCTTCTCTGTCTAATCCTGCAATAACTTGTTCTGGATTGGACTTTTGCTTTTAACTTCCAACTGTTAATCATATTATTTTAAGCCTTTTAATTGCTTTTTACCTTTACTTTATATCTCTGAAGGTAGAAGTTTCATTGACAAAACCAAGCTTCACCTAGTTGTGGGCTCACTACACCTCAAGCTCTAATGTTGGTCTCTGAATGACCATGCCTGCATCCTTCCTAAAAAAAAGCAACATAACTTTCCACTTAATGCATTCAAATTTATGTCCCTCACTTAATGCATTCAAATTCATTGACTGGCTTTCTATGTTGCTTTCCTCCTTTTTCTTTCTTCACAAAACATGCTTCTCTGTCTAATCCTGCAATAACTTGTTGTGGATTGGACTTTTGCTTTTAACTTCCGACTGTTAATCATATTATTTTAAGCCTTTTAGTTTCTTTTACCTTTACTTTATATCTCTGAAGGTAGAAGTTTCATTGACAAAGCCAAGCTTCACCTAGTTGTGGGCTCACTACACCTCAAGCTCTAGTGTTGGTCTCTGAATGACCTTGCCTGCATCCTTCCTTAAAAAAAGAAAGGAAACATAACTTTCCACTTATTAATGCATTCAAATATATGTCCCTCACTTTGTTCTTTTATATATTTTGCCTCTTCTTTCTCCACTTCTTGCTAGCATAATGAATAACTATGGAGATGAGGCCAGTCCATGGTGTTCTTTCCACCCGAAAGAAGTGGTTGTAGGAGTATGCGCTCTTTGCTTGAGAGAGAGGCTCATCAACTTGGCGTTAGAACAAGAGAATTTTCACATCTCCAAGGATTCTAATAGGTCATTCAGATTCTTGAGGAGGAGGGCTTCAATTTCACTTCCTAAAGTCTTTGCTTTGAGCTCGCTCCTTCACCGCCTTGAATCTCGAAGACAGAGATCTGATGATGACAGCTCTGATCAGGGATCCATTGCCAGTTTGGAAGGTATTAATCAATTATCTCTTTTTGCTCTTTCAGAATTGTGATAATGTTGGTATTACATGATCCCAGGACTACTATATATATGTGTGATCTTTGAGTCTTTCTTTGCTCACCCTACTATGATTTAAGATTGTATTATATGTTTTCCCTTCATCTAGGTAAGGAAATTAATATTAGCTATAGCTTAGTCTTATTTTGATTATTGTATATATATGTCTTGCACAGGTGAATAACAATTAGCTCTTGTCTGCATCCTCTTTATTTAAGTTTTCAACTTCAATTGTTCAGTATCCCATCCCTACACAATCTTTCCTTTTCTCTCTCTGAAATTCACTTTTTCAATACTTAAAAAGTGCAAATGAAGTAAAACCCTTTTTCTGTATTTAGGATATAATCTTTGGATCGCTTAAATCGTGAGTAAATAATGTATGGTTTTGGCTGCATAAATTTTAGTATGCTGCATAAATTATCTTTTCCTGACAGTCCTGATAAAGGGTCATCTGATCGGTTGCATTAGCAAACATCTTCATGTCTTTGATCACCTGTCTGAATTACTTATGAACATCCTGTTAATACTTAGCAGACTCGTTCATATCTATCAAGTTTGAAGACAACGGACAAGCATCATGGGAGAGCAAGAAGCAGGAGATCACTGATCACATGCCAAAAGAGAGCAGCAGGGAAAAGAGCGTGGTTGAACATGTAAGGTCGAGGGGGGCGCTGAGGTGGCGGAAGAAGATTGGCCAGCTGCTCCAGCTGCCACGCTGGAAGAGGCCCAGCAAGGCGGGTGC